GGAAGTTGGAAGAAGAGGCCTGGGAGTTGGAAGGAGAGGCCTGGGAGTTGGGTGGAGCAGCTGGGAAGTTGGAAGAAGAAGTCTGGGAGTTGGAAGAAGAGGTCTGAGAGTCGGAAGGAGAGGCTTGGGAAGGCAAAATGTCTGTAGGAGGTATCATGTTGGTGTCACAGCCTCTAAAGCAAAGGCCAGTGCTATAGTCTTGGAGGAGGACACCAGTGGCAGGGCCTTGAAGCTGTTTCTCTTTCTCTACCTCCATTTTGAATTCAAACTTACTCACAACCTTTGTTTTGAGGTGCAGCTCTCCCAGATCCTGGGTAGCAGACATCCTAGATCGTGTGAAGATGTTGGTCCCCTGACACCCAGAATTGAGATTCATGTTAGTGGTTTGGGAGTTGGCCTTCAGGCCAGCCTTCAGGTTGACTTCCCAAGCAGGGGGCTTTCCCTTCTTGGCCTCCACTGGCTCCCTGGGCTCCTTGGCTCTTGAAGATTGGGACCTTCTGCTTAACTGTTGTGCTGCTGTGCTGCTGCAGGAGTCCCCTGAGGCCACACTCTCCTTCTCTCCTCGCTTACACCTGGCCATTGCTGGGCTAGGCTCTAGGCTTCCTCTCTCAGCCCCCAGGACAGCAGTGCTCTGCCAGGTGCTGCTCACTGGGCTGCAGGTGAGGGGCTGAGAAGGCCACCTGCACTCCTGTGCAGTCAGAGGTGCTTTTGGGTTCCCATGGGTGCCAAGAGACTGGGTCCCTCTCAGATCCTTCTGAGTGTCTTCATCCACAGGTGATGAAGCGGAGAGAACATGAGTCAGAGTGCGGACGGAGTTTTTTCTTACCACCTTCTCTCCTTGGTCTTTCCAAGGATGCTCTCCCAGGACACCAGCAACCTCAGCTTTGGAATCATCCCCCAAATCACCATGGTCCCGGGAGGGAAAAGCAGAATGTGGACAGGACCGGTGTTGAGCCTTGAGATTTATGGGCTCAAGGAACTTGAGGTCACAACCCCACCTGTGTGGCTCCTGATACCTTGTAACATGTGCTTCTAGTACCTGTTGAGTACACAGATCTAGGAAAGAAATGCCCTGGGTGGTGTCCACATGGCATTTCCTCCAGGATGCTAGGTTTCTGGGCTTTGTGCAGGGGTCAGAGTGGGCAATAGCATGGCTGGCAATAAGCCAGGACCGACACACACTCACAGGGATTGTGCCCTCACTGATCTCCTCTAACTTCTGGTCCAAATGAGACCTCAGGTTTGTTCCAACACCCTGCTTCTCTGGGATACTGAGAAGGTAATTATTTGATTTATACTTCTGGAGCCTAATCCAGTCCCTCTCTGACTCCTCCTCGTCATCCGCCAGAATCTTCACTGAGGTGCATCTTGAACCCGTGCACGGATCTTCTGGGTCCCCCTTCAGATCTTGCCCTAGATCCCCACTTGAGTTGTTATCTTCTTTGACCCTCTTGGAGCCTTTCCAAGAGGATCTTTCCGAGAACCTGGATCCCATCTTCTGTACCTCCTTGCTGCTTTCTCCTGCAGCAAACACAGGAGGCTGGGACTGACCCCTCCCCAGGAATTCCTCCTGAAGCTGAATCAGTTCCCTAGATGCTTGGGATCTCCAGGAAGGGCCTGACTGAAGTTCATCTGGGATGAAACTCCGAGTATGTTGATCCTGCTGATTCTGGTACTTAGGACCCAAGAAAGCCCCAGGAAGGGTGGAGACTGACTTGTGGCTCATGGAGGCCCAGCCATCCTGGGGAGTGTGTTGGCTAAAGATTATCTGGGAGTTTTGGATCAAAGAGGGTATAATCCTCTTCCATTTCTGTCGCTTCTGCAAATGCCATTCCAGGTGTTCACTTTTGGCTGGGAGGAATCGTGCCTTCTCCTGAGATGAAGGGCAGGTTGTTCTACAGCCTGCTGTAAGGTCCCCTTTAATCTGGGGTGGAGAGAAGTACAGCATGTCTGGGGGACAGGGTGGGAGGCAGGTCTGGACATGGGCCTCATCCGGAGGTGGGGGCGGGAGCTGGGGCTGGGCCTGGGCCATGTGGTGGGGCCTGGGCTGGGCCCTGTGACGGGCCCTGTGACACTGTGTAGGTGCTTCAGACCAAGTCTGAACTGCATTAAATGAGACAGAGAGAGGTGGTTTTGAAGAAGACGTCCTAGAGACCCAGGCAGTAGCCACCAGGGACTCACTGTGCAGAGAGGGGAGGCCCCAGAAGAGCTGGCTGCATTTCTGCTGTAAATGGTCCCCCATGGCCTTGGAATGGGATAGTTGCTGATGACCTGGCAGCTGCTCTGGTTTGTCTTCCATATTCCAAAAGTTGTGTGGGGCCATGGTGTCCCATTCCCTGTGCAGTGACTTTAGCATGTTCCCCAGAGAGCCTCTGGGAGAGTCTGGGCTGGTTTGGGTCAGAAGCGGCCCCTCCCCGTCTTTCCCTGCCCACAGCTTCACCTCTGCTCTCTTGGTGATGGGCATCTCCAGCAGCCTCAGGACCTCAGGGTGGAGGAAAGCGGAGCTGCCAGGCTCCATCTGCCTGAGTTTGGGGGTTCCCCAGAACCGAGCCTCTGGTGTAGGGTGGAAAAGAGGGTTCTGGGATATCCTGCGGTGTGAGGTGGGGAAGAACAGAGCCTTGGCAGCTGCCCACCACCAGGACAGGAACAAAATGGTGTGTTCAAGGCCCAAGGTAGCCCAGATAGGAGAGGCCAAAAAAGAGCAGCCTGGAGGTGAGTTCTCTGGGACAGCACCTGGGTGGACTCTCTTCAAGTCAGACTGCTCTCCCTGAGGTCCTCCTGACAGGGTAGAGGCCAGAGGTAGAGTAGGGGTAGCCAATGTGGGTAAAGTGGTAGGAGAAGCATCTTCCACAGGCACCCCATGCAGTCGGTGGGTGCTGGCAGGCGCTGGTGTACACACCTTCCCCGGGGGGTGCCCACATGAGACCTGACAAGAGCTCCCCTTGTCAGGGAGCTTCCCCAGGTGGCTGTAAGAGACAGGAGGTACCAGCTGCAGTGGCTGGGGGAGGGTACAGTGGAAGGAGGAGCGGGCACTGCCCACGGCTGCTCCACTGCCCCCACTCTGACTTCACGGAGCTCTTCCCCTCCCAGCTCCAGAACACTGGCCACATCTTATCCCCATCCTGTAGTCTCCTCCACCCAGGTTAGCCCAGGCCCCAGGAGGAGGGGGGATAGGGAGAGAAGGGGAAGCCCCTCACCTCTGCAGAAGTAAAATCAGGTCCCGAGCTCCCTTCAGTTCCCTCAGGCAGTCCCTACAAGCTGGAATCAGAAGTCAGGTTAGACAGGCAGGAGAGTCCTGAGGATCTTTCAGGGGCCTGAGAGTCAATCTAGGGCAGACTAGAAGGTTATACACTGCAGCCCTCTCATCAGTGTCCAGGGCCACATTATGCCGGAGTTAACAGCAAGAAGCTCTTTGGGCAGTGCCTTGTCAGGGACACAGTGCTCCCACATCCATCCCCAACTCCTCGCATGCCCCTGTGGGGCACCTCAGAGAGGAACCAACCTTAGCCCCATGAGCAGCCACCCACAGTTGGGCCTGGAGGCCCCACCTCCACATCCCTACTAGGCAGCATCCATCCCCTGCCCACCTGGCCCCACACTCAGCCTGGATTCTGAGAAGAATCCCAGGTTCCCATTTACTTCCCAGAAGCCCCCTCAGGCCTCTACATCTGACTCCCTTAGAGGCTCATCCCTCTGGGACAGGAATGCTCCTTCCCCACCAGGGGCTGTGGGAGGGATGACAGAGCTTTACCTTTCAAAGCACAGCTTTTCTTCCTGCTCCTGGGCCTCCTCCTCTTGTCCACTGGACGCTGAGAGACAAGAAAGATCAAGGGGCTGGGACCCTCCTCAGTCCCTTCCCCTGACAATGCAGGTGTTCGTTGGCCATGCCCTCCTGCATGGAACTAATGGGCCTCTCTTCTTTTATTCATTTTTTAAGTGATCGAAAAAATTCTAGTTTCCTTCTTTGAAAAATGCAAGTATTTTTTAAATTTTTATTTATTTATTTATTTATTTTGCCGTTTTTGGCCAGGGCTGGATTTGAACCCACCATGTCCGACATATGGGGCCAGCACCCTACTCCTTTGAGTCCTTTGATTTGAGATCCACCAGTGGGTCTTCCATAACTGTTCCTCTGGCTACCTAAAATAAAATCCTGGGGCTCTGCCCCATGGGACAAGGGGACCCCAGAAAAACCTTAAAACTGAGGTGTTCTGCCATGAAGAGAACAAGCCAAGTCATGCCCCCTCCTTTTTGGAGTTACTCCTCATAACGTTAAGATACTACATGGTATCAGGACCTAAGGCTGTGAAAGACAAAGCTTAAGTGTGATTCACTTAACAGATCACTTCAGTCCATCTGAAGGCTTGTCTTCAATTAACAGACTCCCTTCATTTCTTTAACCAATCACAAGTCAAAGAATCTTTGGACCCACCTATCTCACTTTGGGATGTACCGCCCTTTCAGGCCAAACCAATGCACACCTTCCACTTATTTATCTCTGGTTTTATGTGTAATTCTGTCTTCATGAAGGTATAAAACCAAAGTGTAACGTGGCCTCCTTGGGCATGTTTTCTCAGGAACTCTCAAGGCCATGTGTTCTGGGTCGTGGTCACGTATGATTTACTAAGAATAAAGTTCTTTAAATTATTCTACAGAGTTTGGGGTTCTCTCCTATTAAAACTTAGCTAGAGAACTACTGACTCAGGCTCACAGGCACCTCTGAGCTGTCAGGTAGGATTCTGCTTCCAGAGGCAGACAGAGGCCCCTCCAGCCTCTGATGGGAGGCTCCCAGGGGCTCTGCATAGCCCTCAGGTCACCTGACATAGAGGGAAGGCAGGCCATGGAAATGTGATGGACGACTGTTAAACCCTGATTCAGGGCCGTCCTCCCACAGAGAGCTCCACTCTTATAACCCAGTCCTGACCCCTGAGCCCTCGCATTTGCTCCAGCATTGAAGCCTCCTGTGCACCCACACCATGGGTCAGAAAGCTTCAGATAGGAATCCCACACCACTGTAACACCCCCAGCCCTGCCTGGACCTAGAAGGATGAGGAGATTCCCATCTCAGAACTCTACTGGATTTGGACAAGTAGAAATAATAATAGAAAAGAGAAGCATTCTCTGTTGGGTCTGGGCTGAGGGTTCGTTACCTTCCTGATGATTCTTTTCTGGCCAGGTGGGGGTGAGGAAAGATCCCTGACAAAGTAGGGGAGTAACAAGAGGAAGAGAACCAGTCCACACACGAAGCCCAAGATGATGTCTGTCATCCAGGCGGTGGAGCTGGGGTTCAGCCATGCCGCAGTAACGCTATTCAGAGAGAAGAGGTCCTTCTCCATCTTCTGAATCGCACTGTTGTCCTAAAGCAACTGAGCCCTGGGCGTTTCCTTTAGGCCTACTGACTAGAGCTCAGTCCTACATCACAGAGCTGTGGCCACCTCATCACAAAGGGCTCCTGAGAGCAGAGGAGGGAAATGGGAGGAGGAGGCTGAACCACAGCCACTTGCCCTTCATCCCTGCAGCCCCCTCCCACCCCCTGGGCTTCTAGTTCCTTCCTTTAGACTCCAGCTGCTCAACCTGTCAGACAAACCTTAGTCAGTTTTCTGTTCTTTCCCCCTGGAATTCCAATATTACCTGGTGTCTTTTATCCCCTGGAGATCCTGGCTTGACCCCACCAATTTCATGGTGTTCAAAAGTCTGAAACTCTCCCACAAATTGTACTTATTTCTAGGGAATTTTCCTCTGAAAATTTCCTCTTTTTATAATTTTCCCACATAATAAGTTTGCTACATTCATCAGTTCAGATGTAGAAATTGACCTTAGTCTTACTTATTTAATTTTGTGAAATTTGAATGTTTTAATTATTGTTTATATATATTATACCTTTGCTATCCTCACTCATGATTTGACACAAAAATTCAGACTAATGATTTGTTAGTAAAAATTTGCAAAACTAAGTAAGTACAATAAAAATGATTGGGCGGTACCTGTGGCTCAAAGGAGTAGAGTGCTGGCCCCATATGCCAGAAGTGGCGAGTTCAAACCTAGCCCCAGCCAAAAACTGCAAAAAAAAAAAAAAAAAAAGAAAGAAAAGAAAAGAAAAAATTCAAATGATTAAACTTCTAAATGATTTCTTTTTAGTTAGTAAGGATTCTGAGTTGCACACAGTCTTATGGCACTTGCTTTAATACCCACACTCACTTGACAAAGTAATTCATCATTTTTAAATCCATGACTTAGCATTTCCTCATTTTCTTTACATCTCCCATATTATGTCAAACCCACAAGGGGGGTCGTGTTGGTCATCACACAGAAAGCCAATGACTGACACACAGGATAGTCAAGGAGGAAAGGATTTACTGCAGGAAGTGCACCTGCTGGGAGGGAGAGGCACGGACCACCTCAAACCTGCCTCTCTTGACCAACAGGATCAGGGTTTTTTTCTTCTGAAGGTGGTAATGAATAATGCATGAGGGGGGTGAACACCGTTACATGTTTGGAGTGGAGTTGCAGAGCAGGCAAGCACAGTGAGAAATCATGTTAGCACATACATCCCAGGGATGAAAACCAGTGGGTAAGTCCCTCCCACGGTAGAGATTTTAGTATTATGGTGAGCTGGGGGCTAATATTGATCACTCTTTCATTCTTGTGTGCAGGCTCAGTGTGTGGTGTCCTTGAGTGCACTCTGTGGTGCGTATCACTTATCTTGTCTTTTTTGGACAAACAGGTAACATAGGGCTACGAGGAAGTTCCACTGTTCCCGGGAAGGAAACTCAAACAGGAAAGCATCAGTGTGACAGAAAGTTACAAATTTCTCATCAGCAACTCGTACTGGCCTGGGACCTTGAAACATAAGAGAATTTAAAAAATTATTTAAAAATGTTTTCTTGCAGGCAGCGCCTGTGGCTCAGTCAGTAATATACCGAGGATGGAAGGTTCAAACCCAGCCCCAGCCAAACTGCAACAATAAAATAGCTGGGCATTGTGGCGGGCGCCTATAGTCCCAGCTACTCGGGAGGCTGAGGCAAGAGAATCGCCTAGGACCAGGAGTTGGAGGTTGCTGTGAGCTGTGTGACGCCACAGCACTCTACCCAGGGTGATAGGGTGAGACTTTGTCTCTACCAAAAAGAAAAGTGTTCTTGCTTACAAAGACAGTTACATCTTGATCCTGTTTGTTCTTACCCTGCCCAAAACATAGTCCTAACTCTCCAGAGTTTTGGAACATGTGTGCCACACGTGTAAGACAGAAATGGGTTGGAGTGACATAAGTACTGATCCTCAGGGTGGAGAGGGGCTGGGGAACAAAGCCTGTGTTTGAGTCTAGTCTTAAGCAGCCTCTTCTGATATCTCTGTGTCTTCTATACATAACTCCTTTCCTTCAGAATAGGCCTCATGTCAAAGAAAAGCACCCAAATTCTGTAAAATAATTTAAAGAGGCTTATTATTAGCTGAGTATGTGAGGCCATGGCCCAGAGCCACAGCTAAGAAGCTTTGATCAGGCTCTCTCACCACATTTAGGCTACAGTTTGGTTTTTTACAATTCAGAGAGATAGTAATTACACATAAAATCATACATCAGTAGATGGAAGGCATATATTGGTTTAGCCCAAAAAGGCAGGACATCTCAAAGCAGGAGATGACAGGTTATGGGATGACAGGTTTAAAGATTTTTTGATTTGTAATTGATAAAAGAAATGAAGATTTGTCTAACAGCTTGGAATATTTTAAGTTAAGATAATGAAAGAAGACTGTTACTCAGAGACAAGCCACCAGACCAGACATAGATTCATGAAGTCTGTTGGGTAGCCTGAGGACCTACAGGTGTGGTTCAACCCCTGCCCTGCACAGCCCTAGCCCTGTTAATGAGTTACAAAGGACACCTCCAAGAAGAGAAAGGGCGCGATGAAGTCTGTCTTTACCTCCCTTCTCATGGCCAGCATCTAAGCTTTAGGGTATTCCTGAGGTCCCCTTGGCCAAGAGGGGTCCGCTGATTCAGCTGGGGGCTTAATATTTTATCTTAGTTCCCACTCAGTCACTTATTTGGGGTTGACAAATGGTAGCCACACGAAGGAATTCCCAGAAGCTCTGCAGACAGGCCTCAGGGCTCATTGAATTCTTTTGTATCAAGGACTGTAGGCGTTTGTGGTGGCAGTGGGGTCTGGTAGGGACCTTCTGGTTACCTTGTCCCCACAGTGAGAAGTCTCTCCTGTCTCTGAATCAATCTGATCCAGTCAGGGGAAATGGGGCTGCAGAGGTCAATGCGTCCATGCTGCCCTTCTGAGCTTCCCATCACCACAAGTGCATCCTCCACCTCATTGCTGCACTCTGGTGCTCTCCCTTCAATGCGCCAGTCAAATCTTAGCTGTTTAGTCATTGTCCTGGTCATCTCTCCGGGGAACAGTGCCATATCTCTGGTGGTCTGTCTTGCTGACATCACTCCCTCACTCCCTCTGGCATTTCTTTATGTTCAGTTCCTGAAAATCATAACCCTACCAGGTAAGAATTTGTTGAGCAGTTCAGAGTTGATCATAAATTTTGAGAAAATGATATAATTTCTGGTCTTTTCTGATGCAATTTAATTAATATATTCAAAATTTTATCAAATGACTATAAAAGACTTAAAAAGATATAGATGTGACCTTATTGTGAATTATCTGTGTCATACTAATTATATCATTATTTCTACTTTAAATAATATTTCACTTTGTAGAATATTTTCTTTCTAACTGAATGATAAAATGTGGTGAACCTCCCAGGCTCACTGTCAGCAGTGGTCTTTCCAATGTATTAGTATTATATTTTTGCAGTATGGTAGTGATTTAACTTTCTTTTTTTTTCTTTGTAGGTGATCTGTTTATTCCTTTTACTTTTTTTTTATTAGATCATAGCTGTGTACATTAATGCAATTATGGGGTACAATGTACTCATTTTATATACAATTTGAAATACTTTCATCAAACTGGCTAACACAGCCTTCACCTCATTTTCTTAGTTATTATGTTAAGACATTTATATTCTACACTTAGTAGATTTAACACATGCCCTTAGAAATTGCATCATAGATGTGGTTCCACCAATTAACCTCCTTCCCCCTATCCTCCCCTCCTCTTTGCTCTTCATCTTGGGCTGTGTTTGGGTTATAGCTTTCCTATGGAAGTATGGGTGTTCATAAATTGGTTTCATAGTAGGGCTGAGTATGTTGGATACTTTTTCTTCCATTCTTGAGACTCTTTGCTAAGAAGAATATGTTCCAGCTCCATCCATGTAAACATGAAAGAGGTAAAGTCTCCATCTTTCTTTAAGGCTGCGTAATATTCCATGGGAGTACATATACCGTAGTGTGTTGATTCATTCATGGGTTGATGGGCACTTGGGCTTCTTCCATGACTTAGCAATTATAAATTGAGCTGCAATAAACATTCTGGTGAAAATATCTTTGTTATAAAGTGATTTTTGGTCTCCTGGATCTATCCCTAGTAGAGGAATTGAAGGATCAAATGGCAGGTCTATTTTTAGTTCCCTAAGTGATCTCCAAACATCTTTCCAAAAGGAATGTATTAGTTTGCATTCCCACCAGCAGTGTAGGAGTGTTCCCTTTTCTCCACATCCATGCCAGCATCTATGGTTTTGGGATTTTGTGACATGGGCTAATCTTACTGGAGTTAGATGATATCTCAAAGTGGTTTTGATTTCAAGTGTCCTGCTTAGGATATCACTCTGTTCAGGAAAAAATTAGCTTATGTAATGTGATATTCAGTTATGAACTTTGCCATTGGGTAACAGCAAGATACTGTCTTGTGGGGGGGGGGAGAGTAAAGCATTATAAATAGCTTTAATGCTGAATTTGCTTTCTCATCTCCCTTTGCAAGGTTTTAACATTTTGAAATAATCCTACGTTAAAGTTCTATCTTACTCAGCATTAAATTACTTCTGTATCATGTGATTTCAGTTGTACTGGTTGCTGGAACAAGTTCTCTCTACCTTGATATTTCCATTTATTGTATCTCTCACCATACGTGGAGTTTAGCCCTACCTTCTAGCACCACCATAGTGACAATAGATCACTCAGTATACATTTTGCTGATTTTTACTTTCAGGTTCACATTCTAGTTTAATCATGGGATGGTTTGATATGTGTATATCAGAAGTCATTTTATAGCTCAATTATATTATATTGCAATATGAAAATTAAAATTAGCCTGAATGGATACGTCAAGTGTTAGATTTTTTATACATAAAATTCTTTCTGATAACTGAAATCTAAAAAATTAATTCCAATTTTATAAAAAATAAGAGTTATTTGGTTCAATTTTTTTAACGTCAGGACTTGTTCAGTACT